CGATCACAGATCTCAGAGCAGAGAGGAGAGGAGGGAGTCCTCAGTGGCGCGGTAACGTGGATGCTGAAGGAACGATCACAGATCTCAGAGCAGAGAGGAGGGGAGGGAGTCCTCAGTGGCGCAGAGCCTTGAACTTGGAGACACGTGATCATCTGCTGGGATTTCAGAAGAGGAAGATGGAGAGTACGTGAGAGAAACAAAACAGTGAGGAACTTAGAGAAGATGGAAGCCTTCAGGCGAACACTGCACCGAGGGCCCGAAAGGACGATTGGAAAAGGAAATACATCCATGCCAGTGAAAGGTGAACTACAGGATATAGAGCAAAATCCTGCAAGAGCTCTCAGGATTAAACAAAGAGATTAATTACAACATGTGGATACCTACACATTGTACTGCATCCGTGTTTTAAAACCACACAACATAAAGCAATTCTTCAAGTTGTGAGAGCATTTTAATCTAAAATGGACCTGGCCAAAGGACACAATTTGAGAGAAAGCAGGTACTTTCGGGACGTGTGAATATTCAGAGTACACCCGCAGTTAATCATTTCCAAAAGAATTATGTAAAGAATAGTTCCCTGACAAATTATCACAGTTAAACATTGGGAGTCAATTAATCTAAAATTATATCTACATTAAATCCAAAACAAAACAAATCTACACCATGCACAGGGGCATGGGAACCCCAAGCTCACCAGCGCAGGGACATCTCTGCATGGGATCCGCACAGGCCCAGCATAGCCGAGCCACCCAGCAGCAGGCGCAGGCGATCACCCCAAGGAGGGCAGTGAGGGCGGGGCGGGGGAGGGAGGTACAGCCCTCAAGACAGCCATGGAAGATGTCAGGACAGCTCCTTCCCTCAATTCACACTCAGCCTCCATCCTACCATGGGCTGTGAGAACCCTCACACACTACACACACCACACACAACACACCACAAACATCACATAGACCACAAGACACACCACACACACAACACACACACCATACAGACCACACACCACATGCCACACCACAGACCACACACACCACAGAACACACAACACACACACCATAGACCACACACCACACAGACTACATACCTCACAACACATAACACACGCCAGACACCACACATCACATATAGCACACAACACACACCACATACCACATGTACCACACCACACACTGCACACAGCACACATACCACACACCACACATATCACCACGTGCAGCCCACACCACACATATCACATAGTATACAGCACACACCACACATCACCACATACCATACAACACACCTCATAGAGCACATACCACATACACCACACACCACACCATACACACTAAACACACTGCGTGTCCGTACACAACATACATGTCCATACACTACACACGCACATGTACCACACACAACAAACACGCGCCACGCACACACACACTTCACACCACACTGCAAACACATACAGAACACACACAAGGCACACACAACACACACGTACACACATACTTGCACCACATATGCACTACACACCACACAAACCACACACACCACACTCACACCACACACACCCCACACACTGCACATGCACCACGCAGCACGTACCAGACGGCAACCAGAAATGCACCACACACCACACAGGCACCACATGCCACACACATGACACTGCACACCACACACCACATGAACCACACACCACACATCACACACATCACACACACTGCACACACCACATACGCCACACCCCCCAGAAAATGCCACACACACCACACAGTGCACACACTCCCACACACAATTCAATTCATGTGAAAGGAACATCCGTGTGCCTTGACATAGAAGACATGTAACGTTGGGTTCGGGAAGTTGGCATGGCTGAGGCTGGATGGGCGCCCCATGACTGATGCCACACCGATGCCCAGGGAACTCACCGTGCTACGTGGTGGGTTCGGGAAGTTGGCATGACTGAGGCTGATGCCACTCCCCACCCTGTTTTATGACACTGGACCGATGCCCAGGGAACTCACCGTGCTGCCTGGGGCTACAGCACAATCCTGCATGGTGGACCCAGGCGCCTCTTGTCTGCCCCCATGTGTGAATGGGGCAACTGCCCCCTTCTCTGACTAGGCCTCCCTCTACAACATTGCACGTGAGAACCAGCCCTACACGGACCCCAGAGAACACAGGTGCCCATCCCAACCTCTCAGGCCTTTAAGACACTGTGCCCTCCCAAGTCTTTCCTGTTCCCACCTGTGTATGACACTGTGATCCTGAGTCTGTCCTCCTCATCCTCGTTCCTGCCTTTATGACACTGGTACCTGAGTCTGTCCTGACTCTGTGCCTGCCCTTGACAATGTCCCCCTGAGCATGTCCTCACACCCTTCATCCCCCTCCAGGCCCCGAGCGTGTCCTCGTCCCCCCTCCAGGCCCCGAGCGTGTCCTCGTCCCCCCTCCAGGCCCCGAGCGTGTGCTCGTCCCCCTCCAGGCCCCGAGCGTGTCCTCGTCCCCCCTCCAGGCCCCG